GATAGTAAAGCTCAAAGAATTTTCATACAAGACGAACATCTCCATCGTCTCACTGTATCTCTTATTTAATCCAATATAAACTTTACCATTGAGTAAAAAATTGAAATAAATTTAATATCCTTTCATCCATAAAGCTTCAAATTCGTTTTATATAGTTTGAAGTCACATCTTCTTTATTTTATCAACTCATTGGAGGAAATTCTTTAAAATATCCAAAGCTTACAGTGCGATGGTTGAATCGGTCACCTTCAAGAATATAAATTTATTTAAACCTTGGTGGATGAGAACAAGGGCTTATTGATCCATCCTCCTTGTTTTTGCAAAAGTATCATTCTCATTTTGAGTCGAAGATACTTCATTTTTGGAAGGAGTAAAGTCTTTGTGTACAATATCTCACACATATTATGAGTGATTTTCATACGAAAACATCAAGTCTCATAGTTATCTTATATAAAACGAGAAAATTAGAATGAGAATAAATTATTACAACTATTTCTCAAGAACTTTAGAATTAAATAACCAAACTCTGATATCACTGTGTAGGAAAATTTTAAGAGAGAGACTAACTTTAGATAATTATTTGTTGAAAATTGAAGGAAGTAAAAAGAAAGACTAATATAAAAACTCAAGTTATTTCGTTGAAAAATTTTAAGAGGTGCACTACCTTCAGATAATTTTTATTAAAAATAAAAAGAAAAATAAAGAGAGACTAATAAAAAAATTCAAGTTATTATTTGTGATTGTTGCAAAAAAAAAAAAAATTCAAGTACATAGGTATATATAAACACTAACACAACTCTTAAAATCCAAATATATTAACCATAATTAACTATAATTCATGAATCATTACCACCTAAAAAAATTCTAAAAACGCGTATTAAAATTCAATTCGTGAACCATAATTATTTAGAAAAAAACTAAAAGATGTATTATATGTATAACTTTAACTCTTTAAAAGATAAAGATTTCCCTTAATTTGCAAGTTATTATTTTTAACGGTTTGCAAATTCGAATTGGATTATGCTCTTATCTATCGTCGTTTGAAAATTATTTTTATTATATTATGATTAATGTGTATGCATAATTTAATGAATAAATATAATAACTTAATAAAGAATAGTTTGAGTAAATTAGTTTAATTATACATATCATTTAATTAGAGAGTGAATTTGAGGAACAAAAACAGATTCCTTAAGTTAGAGAGGCAAGTCAAGAGGACGTGAAGACTAAAATACAGTAGTGATGATTTCATCCTTACTTGTAAATGTATATGTGTGTATGTATATATGTATGTGTATGTATATGTGTATGTGTATGTATACATATTGTTGCCAAACAAAATATACAGTGAGTTATTCGTTAGGAAAGGGCACGCGTTTACAGCATAAGAATAGAGTGTGTTTACAGAGAGTGATAGTTGAGTTAGTTACTGAAAAGCAGCTAATATGTTTTGGCACAACACTCTCCTAACTCACGGGCAGCTGCCCGGGAATAACAGCTTGCAACAAAGCCACTGCACTGCCCAACTTCCTACGTATAACTATACATATATATACACACACACACACACACACACACACATTCAACCCAACCCTTTTCAAGGATATGAGTGCACATAACATCCAAGCCTATACATATATATATGCATATAGCTAAGTCTCTCTCCACATATATATATAAAAATCATCTCCTCATCTCTTAATTTCTCTCTAAGTCTCAACTATATATATATATACATATATATATATATATATATATTCATCAATGGCTTCTATCCCTAAGCTCTACTCTGATTATCCACTATTCAATCAACCTTCTCAATTTGCAAATCCCGATCATCTCCTCATGGACGGAGGCGAATCATTTTCCATCATTCCTGCTAATAATAACCTGTGGGGTGATCATCAAGAAAACTATCCAGTAATCTTGGATAATGACATCATTCAGCCGGAGGTGACGTCATCGCCGGTGACGTTCCCGGAGAGACTTGGGATTTCCAACTTGGTTGTGCCGGCGCCGGAATATTATAACATGGGTTTGTATGGCATCAATGTCGAGAATTATGGGCAATTAGGAAATTATTTGTGTGAGTTCGGGGAAGACAGCAGCTGCTGTAGTTTTTCTTCGCCGGAGTTCAAGCCGCTTTGTCCTACTGCCGGAGACAATTGGGTAAACATTTTTTTTTTCTTTATGTTATGTGAAAGTTCAAAAGATTAAATCTTTTTTTTTTTTTTTTTTTTTTTGCGGGTTAAGTTCAGAATGTCTGAAAGTTTTGTTTTTTGTATGTTTATTTTCCAGGGAATTCTCGGGAACCAAACACCTCCGGCTGAAGAGAGTAATATAAAGGTTGGGAGATATTCAGTGGAAGAGAGAAAAGACAGAATTCTCAGGTACTTGAAGAAGAGAAACCAAAGGAACTTCAACAAGACCATTAAGGTTTCTCTCTCTCCCTCTCTCTCTCTCTCTACATATATATATATATATATATATATTATACTGTGTGGTTTATTTGTTATCAAATTAATGAAAGTGATAAACTTTTCCTAAAAAGGAATTTAAATTTACGCAGTATGCATGCCGGAAGACCTTAGCTGATAGAAGGGTGAGAATTCGTGGGAGATTTGCGAGGAACAATGAACAATGTGAAGAGGATATAATGACATCCAGGAAGAATGAAAATCTTCACATGAATCACAAAGAAGAACATCAATTATTATTTCCTGATGATGCTCTGCAGGTATATTTATAGATGCTATATATATATATATTATATATTATATCCATAGACACCCAGTTCATAATAATAATGATGATAATGGTAATATTAACGCTGTGTTTTGTATGGTATGTAGATAAAACATGACGAGGAGTGGCTGCAGGAGGCGATGTCAAATTTGATATATCTACCGTACATGGCGGGTTGATGTGATGTATATATATATATATATATATATACTTGACGTAAATGTCAACTAATCTATATCAATGTAGGATGGATTATTGTTTTGAAATGGACATGACGAAACGATTGTAATAATCTCTAACAAGAGCTAGAGTTGTTCAATCCGTCGTCGTATTGGTTTCATGAATGGGAATGGATATGTATCAATTTAACAAAATCTACATTCATACTTTTGACCAATGTAATTGTCGGTGATTGGGATTATCATCAAATTTGCATATACATATACATACACATATACATATACATATACATATATATATATGCATGTTGTAAGAAGAAAGCTCAAATCTAATTTTCTGATCTGAATTTTCACCCCACTAATTAATATCTAAATAAGCAAATTACATTTAAAAAACATATATATACCAAATTTTCATTTATAATTATAATATTTATATAACGATTTTAATCACTTATGATAATATATAAATTTTTTTATAGATGAAATTCATTATTTATTTGATTTTTAATAAAATAAATAAATATTAAATTTATTTAACAAAGCATGTTTTAATTTCATAATATGCATTAAGTTTGTTTAATTGGTTTAGTGAAATTTTTAAATCAAATTATAAGTTTAAAATCTTTAGAATGTTTCTAGAAATCCCATATTTGCATGGATATCCATGTTAACCTTGTGGCCACCTCACGCCATGAGTATCATACATATATATATATATATATATGTCTTGTCACTCACATCTATATATTCCATATAATAGTAGCTAATGATATTGTTAACTCTTCTAACTACACAGTGTTCACATTTTATAAATAATATAATATAATATAATATATATATATATATAATATTCACATAACAGCACTTTTTACTTCTTTTACATTAACCTAATCAAATGATACCTAACTACAATTTTTATAATGTGGGAAGTCTTCTGCTTCCTTAAAGTATATCAACTATATATAAAGAGCACGAACATATATAGATGTGCATCTACATATATATATATATATATGTATGCGTATACTCGGTTGTACAATACACATATATTCTGCTAAAGAAGCAAAATTATGAAAAGTAAGATTGTTTTGGAAAACAAAGTTGTAAACTAAATTACCCCATTGCTGTCTTTTTTTCATGTGTCGAGTACTATAAAAAAGATGCTTTCTAATTCTATTTTCACAGAAACACCTCTTATATATATGTATATATATATATAGATATTCTAAATACCCAGAAAATATTAGTGAAAAAATTAAAGTTATATGTATAGAGATTTGAGGGTTTATATCTAAATGTGGAGATTGATTAAAATATTTTAATCCAAGGGTGTAGATTAGAAGTAGAATCCAAAAGTTGGAGATGGAAAGCACCTATAAATTAAAATGCTTTTGGATTGCCGAAATGGAATATTTGACCAATCGTACAAAATGAAAATTGTTTGGAAAGCTTTGGAATGGTTGCGGTTCGCTTCGTAAATGTATATAGAAGAACCTTGTTCCAATCACTTAATATCAAAAGCCAAATCTTATAAAATTAGCATTTACACACACACATATATATATATATATACACACACACACACACACAAAGTTGTATACTTTACTCTGCAAATATGTGTCTTTTATTTTTAATATTTTTGGGTTTATTTTTTATTTTTTTTTACAATTCACTATTTTACGGTTTGAATATTAATAAACTTATTATTTCATAATTTTTATTGCAAAATTTCAAATTATAATTGTTTAAAATTTATTAAATTTGATGTATAATATATATAAATTTAAATTATCTAAAATAATTTAATCTCAAATAAAACCCATAAATTAAATCCACTTTAGTTTTTAAAAAATCTTATAAGATTGGCAAAACTTATAGGCTTTTTGAAATCTATCCATCTATATATATATATATATATATATGTATATATTCCTATATATGCTTTATTTTCTTGGCTGGTTGGTTGGTTGGTCCCTCAATATAATTGGGTTCTCCACTCTCCACTGTTGTATACCCATGAGCCGCAATATGTCTCCTCATTTGGATGTATTTAGCATATTTTGTCTGCTGCAATCACAAACAACATTAGATAAGTAAGTAATTCTGATTTTATCTTCAAATTCTCTTATTACATTCTACACCATATATATATATATATATACATATATCCGGTATGAGTATAGAAAAGTGTTCGTGTATTTTTATATATTGAAAAAGATTTTGTAACTAGTTCCAATCAATTTCCAAAAATAGAATTAGTTCAAATTCTTCTTTGAACGAAGCCCAGCCCCTCAATCTGGTTAAAGCTAATTTGTGTCTTTCAGGCCTGGCTATGGTGGATGCTTTGGAGGGCTGAAGTGGCCTCTTCTTGAATATATACATATACATATATATATATATATATTTCTATATTAATATAACTTGTTTCGAAGATTAACAACAGAATTATACCCACGTAGACAGACTATCAAAATTTCAAATTGCATAATTATAATCAAAACCCAATCAAAGTGTAAGTTAGAGTAGATGCTTCAGGGCCACTTCCAGATAGTGCTTTCTTACGACTGTAAGAATGCTACCTTGTGACACCCATTTGCATGATTTTTTCCCTTTTGGAAGAAAATAATTAAATGTGAAATATATATATGTATATATATATATATATAATGTTAATGAACAATATATAAGTAGTTGACAATTACTTTGTTGGCTGGATTTGACTAGGGCATGACTGTTTATAAATTTAGAAAGTCAACCAATCATATATAATCATAAATCATTATGTCTTCTCCTCATTCTTTGCTTATAACAGATTCCCTATTTAAAATGTACTTGGCTGCCTCTTTCTATTTCTTAGGAGCCAAGAGAAGCATATACACACACATATATATGTATGTATGTATGTATGCATATGTGTATGTATATGTATAGGTTGTATGTAAAGTATCACCGACGAATCTATCACAGTGATCTTAAACCTCATATTGTTTGGCAGCAGCAGTACTGGTAATAAGTTGATCATGATGAGATATCTCCACCCCACTAACTTCCTACAATCATTTTTAAGCCTCCCACAAATTCAAAGTCACTATATAAGTTTCAAACAATATATAATATAATATTTGTATTGTGGGTCATTTTCACTTATCATTTTGATCACTATAAACTTGATCATACATATAATTTATATATATATATATATATATAGCCACTATACTCTTTCTCCTACACTTGGGAGAGAAGACAATCCAAACAGTTTAAAAACCATAATAAAAGTGTTAAAAATGTGATTTCACATGGATCAAACTGTTAAGTATTTATATTAACTTACATACGTGTTGATTTAGTGTTTTAAGGCTTTATGAAAAGGAGCCTTAATAATAATCAATGTGTGTGTATATATGTGTGTGTGTGTGTGTGTGTGTGCATATATATATGTATGTGTAAGTACAAACGGCATATGATAGTTACATTTGAAAGCTATAGATATATTGATAGTTAGTGTATATGTATGAATATTATTGGAAAGAGAGAGTCCAAGCCCATACTTAAAATCTAAATTAAAGACAAATTTACATAAGTGAAGCCCAAAATCAATTTAGTTCTCTCAAGGATCTAAATCCATATTCCACAACTGAGCCCAAAGCATGTTATTTACAAGCCTATAATTAAGAGAGGTAGGATAAAGACCTCTATAATAACTTACAATATATAATAATACTCAAACATATTTCAAAAGGCTATAATGGAGAAAATACAATAAGATAGTAGGTTATTAAGTATGATCCTTGAATGTAATGCATCTTTTGAATTGTAATAAGACCTAGACAAGAATGAAATATGACTTATAAAATTATTATTAAAATTTCTAGTTTCTATTATTTGACAATTCTATTTTGGCGATAAACACTTAATTAATAACTCCCATAATTTCTATTGTTCATCATGATTTTTGTGCTCGTAAATTGACCGTTTGCTTGGTTTTTCGTAAGTACTTTGGAGATTTAGCTACAAACCTCACAGGAATGGTCCCACTCCACACTCATACAAGTGATTCTATCAAATGCATAATGCATTTTAATACAGTGCTAGTAAGAAAAGTAAAAATCTTAAGAGACTCGTCCAACCTCATTTTATAAAGCAATTCACTATCCACACCATCAAAAGGGATATATAAGGTAGTGCCTTATATTATTAAAAAACTGACTTATTACCCGTATAGACCTAATACATAGAATTACTAATCACGTAGGTTGTGTTACTGTTATTATTAATATATCAAACTAGTTATAGTCTCATTGATGTTTTATTTACTATTTTCTTCTTAAAGGTATAGTTAAATGATTGGTTAAATTAATATCTGATTTCACAACTAAACAATTCAAAAAAAAAATACATATAGGTCTGACAACCAAACATTTACCTTTGTATCCTTTAATTTTTCAATGTAATAAGAATCAAAGTTTAACATTTGGATTTTTTAAACTTTATACGAAACCAAGTTAGCATTCATTACTTTAAAGAAGAAAACAAGTTGAAAGCTTTGGAAACTTGGTTCAAGTAGAGTGACATTGAAGAAACCTCTTAAGAAATATTAAAGGAAACCAATACGAGACAACAATCGTAAAATCATCAAAAAAATTAAAATAAGATAAAGAACACAATATAGACAATTAGATTCTCTATAGAAGATTTAAAAAACCACTATTAATACACATAAGAACTGTGGTAAGTATCACTTAAAAAACATAAATAGGACTAAGAAAATCCAGTAAGACTAAGAGAATGAGAACATATCTCTAAAATTAGATAATGATATAAAAAGAAGTATAATGTAAAAAATATCTAGCGAAATTGAATTAAGCTATCATACCTACAAGGAAAAAGTTTAAATGAAAACACTCATCCTCCTCATATACCCCTCTAAGTATATCACTTAAACCATCTCAAAGCCAACTAGTACAATCTATAGCCTTGAATGTAACCCATCCTTAGCT